CTCTGGCATGATAAATGCAGAAGTGGGGGCCAGCAAGTGAACCCCAAAGTCTTAGTCTCAGGCTTTGATATAGAACTTCCCCCCAAAATCATAAAACCCTAGATTTTGGGGATAACTTTCCGCTGCCATCATCCAAATATTAATAAAGAGATCCGGGGAAAGATTATTTTGGAAATTTCACCCCTAAAATGAAAAATCAGGACCCACAATTAACCAGTCCCAGTTTAATAGAAAGAAAAGAGAAGAACTGTTATTGTCACAACAATACTCCAGTTGTGAGCATAATGATTAGATGGAAAGGTAACAGAATGTACTCATGGAGGAATTACACCACGGGCTAGAACTTGTTAAAAAGAAGAGGCAAACATCTTTACTTAGTACACAGACATCAGATCCCATACCCAAACCATAAAACAATAAAACCGGATTTATCTCAACTTTACCCTACTTACAGAAGTGAAAAATTGTTTCTTGGAGAGAGAGAAGCATGGTTGCCTCTCACTAGCTGCAGAGGAACTCAGAGGCTGTGTCCAGACTCAGGGGTGTTTTTCGGGAAAAGTAGCCTTTTTCCGAAAAAACTTCACCTGCGTCTAGACTGCAGCCGCGTTCTTTCGAAATTAAATCGAAAGAACGCAGCTTTTCTTTCGACGGCGGTAAACCTCATTTCACGAGGAAGAATGCCTTCTTTCGAAAGTGCTTCTTTCGAAAGAAGGCGTTCTTGAATGTAAATAGGGCTTCTTCGAAAGAGAGCATCCAGACTCGCTGGGTGCTTTCTTTCGAAAAAGCGGCTTGCTCTTTCGAAAGTTCCGCCTGCAGTCTAGACGCTCTCTTTCGAAAGAGGCTTGCAGTCTAGACATAGCCAGAGAAACAAAAGAAGAAAAAACCCAAATTCCTTTGTCCTAGTTTGAAAGTCTTACCTATATTCCTATTGGCCACTTCACCTGCCTAGGTGTAGTTAACCCCTTAGTCCCCAGGCTACTGGCTAACCCTCATAATCATGACAAGGCAAAACTCCCCTTGGAGGAAGAAGTGAGTAAAGACCTCACGGGCCAGCTGTGGGTCAATGCAGAGAGACTGTCCCCCACGCTCCCTTGCATCTCAGGGGCTGGCTGCTAACACGGAGGCTGTTAGCAGCCTTTTATCTGCTGCAGGGCTCGGGCACCTAACATGGAGTCATTGGAAGGATTTTTCAGCAACCTCTCTCCTGGCTTCGTGCTTGAGCTCCACTGGCATGTAGTCTAGACATACCCAGACTGTCTAACAGTTGTTCATCAAGACATTGAGGGTAACACTCTTGATGGCTTTCATTCACACATTTAAAAACTACAAACCATTCCACACTCCATATGCCTAATTTCACACACAAGCACGATACATATGCCGAAATAAGATAAACTGAACCCAGCAGATTATGACATGGAGATTGATAGGTTGCATGAAGCAATTTGTCCAAAGCAATTTTGAGTTATGTGCATTTGTTTCCCTAAGGCTGTGTCTCCACTACAAAGGAAAGTCAGAAAAAGATATGCAAGTTGCCATCCTTTTCTAACTTTTCTTTCAGAAGAGGCTTTTCTGAAATTTGGAGTGTTTACACGGTGCCAAATTTTGGCAAATCCTCCTCTTTCGGCACATCCCTTCTTCCTTGTACAACGAGGTTTACAGGGATGGTGAAAGTACCCGTCCACCTTTCCGAATTATTTTTCGAAAAAGTAGATGTGTTCCTTAGACCTGGCATAGCTTTTCCAGAAGCTGCAGTGTAGACGTATCCAAAGTCCATTTCAGAAAGCACGAGGGGAGGGTCCATCACAGTGTAAACCAGGTTTAACTTTGTGAATCTCATTCTTCCAAGCAATTTGCTCCAATAACGACTGTGGCAATGAGTTCCACAGTCCAAATCCTGATTATGTTTTGCCTGTTTCATATGCTCAGACTTTCAATAATACGGAATGTTCCCCTGTTTGTGAGTTGTGCGGGAGAGCAACTATAAACGCCTCATCTATTTTCTGAATCAGTAAATTCATGGGGTTGCAGGTTGGAAAGGCCCATTACATTATCCAACCTGAGTTCCTGTCCTCACTACCCCCCATGCGTTATGCAAATTGGCTTATGAATATGACTATGCATAACTTAAAGATGCTTTCCTCATGGAACATGTCCATTTTAAGGTACTCATCTGGTGAATCTTTATATCCTGTTTTTGTGCAGGTTTCTGTCTTGTATGTGAAATCAGCAATAGGAAGTGTGAATCTGCTTTTAATTCTAAATATGCTAATGAGGGGCATTAGGGATATTTTAGCATCTTAATGACTCAAGCAAATGACCCACACATGGTTTAATTCTTCCTGAAAGCCCAAGCTGTGGTCGGTCCCAGAAAGACATGAGGCTAGAACCCATTGTGGCTCCCCCATGTTTCCCCTGGAGGTGGGAAAAGTTTGAACTCAACACAAAGGGAAGAGGAATACAAGTGGGGGGAGCCAAACAAAGAGGCAATGGGCAGACACCAGGAGACACCCCTCTTACTAAGACTGAACTGGGGGATGCATCGGGCCCAAGCGAGGAGGCTGCTCCGAAAAAAAGATGGTTAGAACAACTGTTTAGAGTAAGAATTTGCATGTCACAACTTTCTTAGGGAATTACGATTAGCTGGGGGAGACCAGACATTACGTTTTTAAAGGGACAGTGGCATATTTAAGCCCTCCTGCAGGTGTGTGTAATTAAAAAAAAATTCAAATTATCCCATATTTTCTGTCTCTCCCTTCCCTGGTGGGTCCTATTGCTGGCTAGATCCTTGCTTGTCAAACTAGACGGTGACCTAGATGGTGCTTGGTCATGGACCGTGAGGGCCGGGGACTGGACTCGATGACCCCTCGAGGGCCGTTCCAGTTCTAGGGTTCTGTGATTCTAACCACCCACCCAGCAGCAGGGAGTGGAGGGTCAAGTGGTGGTTGGTGTGTGTTTGAGTGGGGAGAGGTTTGCAAGGCTGGCAGTTGGGTACCCCTGCTTATCCGGTGGTGTTGACCCTGTTGTGGGCCAGCTCTTTTTCAGTACGATCACCCCACTCCTGTTTCATAGAATCCCAGGGCTGGAAGAGACCGCAGGAGCCATCGGGTCCAGCCCCCTACTCAAAGCAGGACCAGCCCCAACTCAGTCAGCCCAGTCATGGCTTGGTCAAGCCGGGACTTAAAAACCTTCAGGACTGCTTGATGCAGGGGCTGATGGGTGCGGGCCGGCGGTAGCGGGTGACGTGTCACCTCTGTGCCCACCTACGGGTCCTTCACACTCACGCCTCTCTCACTGGCCTCCCCCTGCTGTGCCTGGTAACCCCCTTGTTGCCCTGTTGTTCCTCCACACCCTCCCCACCCATGGTGGAGTGCGTCCTACTCCCGGTGCTGTGCAGGGAATCACCCCGTCGGATTGTGGTGTGGAAAGAGCCGATAAAGAAAAGTTATTTATTAGTTCCCTAAATAGAAGAACTAGAGGACTCCAAATGAAATTAATGGGGAGCAGGTTTAAAACTGATAAAAGGAAGTTCTTCTTCACACAGCGTGTAGTCAACCTGTGGAACTCCTTGCCAGAGGAGGCTGTGAAGGCTAGGACTATAACAGAGTTTAAAGAGAAGCTAGATAATTTCATGGAGGTTAGGTCCATAAAAGGCTATTAGCCAGGGGATAGAAATGGTATCCCTGGCCTCTGTTTGTCAGAGGCTGGAGAGGGATGGCAGGAGACAAATCGCTTGATCATTGTCTTCGGTCCACCTTCTCTGGGGCACCTGGTGTTGGCCACTGTCGGCAGACAGGATACTGGGCTAGATGGACCTTTGGTCTGACCCAGTACGGCCGTTCTTATGTTCTTATCCTGCAGCTCCCCAACAGCCTGGCTGGCCTGCTCCTTCCTGCCCTGCCACAGGCTGTGACTGGGGATAAACTTCTCTGCTCCTCCGCTAAGCTCTGGAGAGGCGAGAGGAAGTGATTTCCAGCTGGTGGGCTCCATTCCAACCATCCCAGTCCCCAGGCGGGGCCCTTAGCTGTCTCCCCACACACTGCCCCTGCCCTAGGTCCTGCTCCCAGCGCTGCTCCGCCCCCTCACACCCTCCTCTGCTGAGCCACCTTCTGGCCACGCTCCCAGAAGCCCCGGCAGCCACATTCCAGGGGCTCTGAAGCACCAGGCATCCTTAGGGCTTAACCCCTTCTTGCCCATGCTGGAGCTGGGGGACTGGGGGTGGCTGGGTTATGATGGTGGCCAGCAGCAGGCTGGAGGGGGGAGCTGCCTTTCGGCGCTGTGCGGGCAGGAAGGGACACGCTGCTGCCAGCCCAAGTCCTCTCTTCCCCCATCCCACCCGTTTTCGGCTGGCAGCATCTTCTGCCCCCTCCCTACCACACAACGCCAACAGGCTCTTGCTCAACACATTCCGGTGTGAACCCCGACAGAAACCCGGGGAGGGGGCCTGCGACCCTGCATGTCCCCCACATGTGGCTTTGTGATGCCATGGCAGCGCCAGGTACCAGGAGAAGTTGGTGCATCTCCAGGACCAAGGAAGCCAAGCAGGGTGGAGAACACTGAGCAGAAGGGTCAGGTCAGGTCAGTCAGGGTATATCTGCACCTCGGCGTTATTTTCGAAAGATCCCTTCTCTCTCCTAAAATGAGGTGTACAGGATCTTTCGAAAAAGGCTTTATTTTTCGACAGATCCATGTATCGACTGCTGGGTTTCTTTTGAAAAAGCTCCATTTAAAAAAAAAAGTGGCAGCCATGTTTATGCTAATGAAGCACGGGATATTTAAATCCCTGCTTTATTAGCAATGTCAACGTGCCTAATGTACATCTCTCTGTTGACAGAGAGGTGTAGTCTAGACACAGCCATATAAACATTGTCTCTCCCTCCAGGCATTTATACTGAGACCTTCACCCTAGATCCTGGGCACACACAAGAAGTGACGGGAACATTCGGTGCAAGCAGGAGACACCGTTCTGCCTCCAAGTTGGACGCCTTCTCCCTTACTCCATGGCAGATTCCAACACAACTAACTTCACCAACCCCTCCACCTTCATCCTGCTGGGCATCCCTGGCTTGGAGTTGGCCCACGTCTGGATCTCCATCCCCTTCTGCATCATGTACGTCATAGCCCTCTTGGGCAACTTCCCCATCCTGTTCATTGTGAAGAAGGAGCCGAGCCTCCATGAGCCCATGTACTATTTCCTCTGCATGCTGGCGGCAGCTGATCTGGTCCTGTCCTGCTCTATCTTGCCCAAAATGCTGGCAATCTTCTGGTTCAGTTCCAGGGAGATCGATTTCAATGCCTGCCTCACCCAGATGTTCTTCATTCATAGCGTCTCAGCAATGGAGTCTGCGATCTTCGTGGCCATGGCTGTGGATCGCTACGTGGCCATCTGCCACCCCTTGAGACATTCCACCATCCTGACAAACTCTGTGGTGGCCAAGATGGGCCTGGCCGTGGCATTACGTGGTGGCGTGCTCATACTGCCCTATCCCTTCATGGAAAGGCAGTGGCCATATTGCAGAACCAACATCATCCCCCACTCCTACTGCGAGCACATGGCCGTGGTGAAGCTGGCCTGCGCCGACGTTCGCGTCAGTAGTTACTATGGCCTCTTTGTGGTATTCTTTGTGAGTGGGGTGGATATCTCATGTATCGCCATGTCCTACACACAGATCATCAGGGCCATCTTTAGACTCCCCACAAAGGATGCCCGGCTCAAAACTTTTGGCACCTGCAGCTCCCACCTCTGTGCCATCTTAGCCTTTTACATCCCTGCTCTCTTCTCCATTCTCACCCATCGGTTTGGCCAGAATGTGCCTCTGTATTTCCATGTTCTCTTTGCCAATGTCTACATCCTGGTGCCCCCCATGCTGAACCCCATCATCTACGGGGTGAGGACCAGACAGATCCGGGACAGGCTGCTGCAGCTGTTGATTCATAAAGGGAATTAAAAGTTTTCTCCTGGGCCTCTGGCTCTCAGATGGAGAGCTGTGCAGAGCTGGCTGGTGATACGGTGCTGGACCCTCTGCCCAGAAAAGACATGAACCTTTTCCTGGTCTTGGTGTGATGTGTCAGTGAGGGACACATGAGAGTCAGGTCATGCACGTTTCAAAATTCTGGAAACTGGACTCCCTAAACTCTGCCCTTTGCCCACCTCTTCTACCAGGGCTCTGCCCCTCCTCTAATCCTCTCCCTGAGATCTCACCCCATCCTTGCTCCTCTCCTCCCCTTCCCCTGTCACTGTGAGAGATCTTTCCCTGCACACTCTCCCCTGGTTCTTGTGATGAGCACAGGGAGCAGAAGACAAGGCATCCAGGCAGCTTTCAACTTCCTGAAGGGAGGTTCCAAAGAGGATGGAGAGAGGCTGTTCTCAGTGGTGACAGGTGGCAGGACAAGGCACAATGGTCTCAAGTTGCAGTGGGGCAGGTCTAGGTTGGATAGTAGGAAAAACTATTCCCCTAGGAGGGTGGGGAAGCACTGGGCTGGGTTCCCTAGGGAGGGGGTGGAATCTCCACCCTAGAAGTTTTGAAGCCTGGCTTGACAAAGCCCTGTCTGGGGTGATTTAGTTGGGATGGGTCCTGCCTTGGGCAGGGGGCTGGACTTGATGACTCCTGAGGTCTCTTCCCGCTCTATGGTTCTAAGATTCTAAGGTGTAAGCACGTTGATGCGAATGGAGCTGAGCGTCGCAGAAACACACCTGTCACTCCGATCCGCCCTTCTCCTTAGCAAACGTTCTTCCTGAAATGGACATGCTTGCTCCCAGTTTGTACAATTGTTGGTCCTTTCCTCTTTGGGAACAACAGAGTGACACTGTGGGATGGACGAGAACAGGTATGTCTTTGGAATGTCAGTGGATTGCACCTTCCCCTCATTCTCCATTGCCCCTCCCAACTCGGTCCTTGCCCTTGACATGAGATAGGAAGTGAGACAGTCACACAGGGGCTACGTCTAGACTGCAGGCTTTTTTTGAAAGAGGCATTCTGATGGACGAGAACAGGTATGTCTTTGGAATGTCAGTGGATTGCACCTTCCCCTCATTCTCCATTGCCCCTTCCAACTCGGTCCTTGCCCTTGACACGAGATAGGAAGTGAGACAGTCACACAGGGTGCGCTCGTATATTATACTCCCCCCATGCCTGGTAGCATGTTTAACTGTTCTGTTCTATTCCCGTTATATTAACAACCCATGTGCTCCAGGAGGAAAACACACCCAGTGCCATTTTATTAGCCACGAGTAGTCAGGGGATTCAACCAGTACCAGGCCCAGGCCTCTGTGTGATTACATATATCCTGTCCCGTATCCCCAGGGAATCTCTGCATCTTACTTCTACTCAAATATAGGGGTACAACCCAGCCATTTTTTTTGGCCACCTGCCCTGGAATTAGAAATGGTTTTCCCAACCCTACCACCTCAATGTGTGATGTGGCCCAGCCCAACAGACTCTGCCCATGTGGCTATCTGGTCCTCAGGAGTTAGATCTTCCACCTCTCTTCCTACCTCCACAAGCCACAGCCCAATCAGATCCTAAAGAGCCCAGAGAGCCTTGCCCTGCAGACTCAGTTCATCCTCTAGATCTGTGAACCTCCCCACCTATTCATCCCACCTCAACTGTCTCGCACGGCCCCTTTTTCCTTGCTGTGCCTCGTGTCTTCACATCCATTGCCTCCACGTTTAGTAAAAAAAAAACAGCAAGCAAATGGTCTGGTAGCACTTTATAGACTAACAAAACATGTAGATGGGGTCATGAGCTTCCGTAGGCACGGCCCACTTCTTCAGATGACCTGAAAGCTCATGATACCATGAAGGCTCATGATACCATCTACATGTTTTGTTAGTCTGTAAAGTGCTACCAGACCATTTGCTTGCTGTTTTTTTCTGTAACAGACGAACTCAGCTACCCTCTGAAGTTCCACCTTTAGGGTGGATTGTTCCATAAAGGTCCGTCATTATTCCTCTATCTCCTCCGAAGCCTTACTACACTGGAGATCAGTTTCCCATTTTACCCCGTATGCCACTCCACGGCACAGACCTTCAAACACCCTCTCCTTTTCCTGATAGTCCTACATTGTCAACAGTCCGAATAAACAGGCTCAAATAGGGTTGGCAACAGACCAGGGAACAGCTGTAGCACAACTGGTAGAAAAACAAAAGATGAACCAAGCATTTGATGAGTGGGGTGATAGTAGGGAATGGCAAGTAGGACACCAAGTAATGATTAAGCATGACACTGAAGCGAGGGAGAGCTCAGTAGTTTGAGCAGTAACCTGTTAAACTCTGAGTTGTGAGTTCAATCCTTGAAGGGGGGCCATTTAGGCATCTGGGGCAAATCTGTCAGGGTTGGAGCTTAGTCCTGTTATGAGAGCAGGGGAGTGGATTCAATGACCTTTCAAGGTCCCTTCCAGCTCTGTGAGATGGTATATCTCCATGTGTGTGTTATTTTTTTAATTCCAGAAGGGGAATGGCATGGACTATGGTGAATCAGATAATTTGAGACCTCATTTCATCTGGAGCATCAGCCTGAGTGGAGACATGCCACACAGTTGAAGGAGTACAAGTTTAAGCTGCATTTTGCAGGTCCTGGTATTTTTAAAAAACAAATTAAGCAAGATAAGCTCCTTTAAATACCAAGAAGTGCTTGTTGTTTATATTTCCACAGGTTATCCTCCCCAGTTGCATATGGGGCCTGTCAGGGGTGATAATCCAAGAGGCAAAGGGATTATTGGATACCAAGAAGATAAATCAGACACCTTTTGGGACCTGAAACTCATGGCCAAAAACTTCAAGCAATTCCACTCCACTGGGCGTGGTGAGACAAACCCACCCTGCTGGAGCTGCTGTAGAATTGGTGCAGAAAGCAAAGGAAACCAAGTGGAACACATCTTTTAGTACTGCCTGGCCATGAGGTATCGGAGACCGAGTATTCCCGTCAGTATTTTCCTCTCAGAACCCTGGCGCATCGGAGCCTAAGGTGCCGCCAGTGTCCTGCAGAAAGCAGGCTGAGCGCTCGGAATCTGTGCTCAGGTCTCAATTCTGACGGGATTCTCCAACCACATGTTCCTCGGCCCCCCTCCCAAGCAAGCAAGGTTTGCGAGGGGTTCGCAGACCGTGCCTTCTGGATGGGGCCTTTCAGTTTGGGAATGAATGTTTATACATCTGTGTGTGGTGGGTGGGCGTGCGCCTCTGTGTGTGTGCGCACGCGCATGTGGGTCTCCATGTGTGTTTACATGTGTGTGCCGGTGTCTTTGCACACACAAGTCATGGCTGCCCTGCAGGTTCATTTTTACCAAGTGGAACAACACCCTACAGACCGACTGACAGCCCCACGTGAAAAACTCATCCGCCTGGAGTTCACAGCACGCAAGTGGCACAGGGACATCTGTGCTTCACTCCCTGCTCCGAATCAGAAAGAACAGAGTTTGGTTTTCACAGCTCTCACGGGTCTCTCACAAAACAGGACTGACCTGTCGTAGGTGCTTCTCTCCAGAAGGGTATGTCTACACTATAGATTTTTGTCGGAAAAATGGCCAGACTCACAGACATTGGGCTATTATATACAGTAGACTTCTGATAATCTGGAACCTATGGGACCTAGGTGGTGCCGGATTATCAGATATGCCGGTCTATCAGGAGGTACTGTAAGATGGTTATATATATACTGTATACATTATATACTGTATATAAAGTGTTCTAAAGCCTTTTTATTGTGCATACTGTATACAGTATACTGTAATGTTTTCATTTTTTTAAGCCTTTTTTACCCTTTTTGCTCAGTTCAGCTGCTGCCGCTGTTAGCTTGTGACTCATTTTTTGCTGAAGCTCACTCACTATGCTCTTGCCATTTTGATGCCGGACTATCAGGAGTGCTGGACTATTGGATGCCGGACTATTGGAGTTTTACTGTACTATGAGAAACGTAGGGCATTATTCTGCACTCAATTACACAAATAGAGTTTCTTTGGATTTGACATGGCATAACTGAGAGCAGAATCAGGACAAAAGGGTGCATATTTGTGCATTCTTTTAATGATCTGTAGCAGCCCAGGTAGTTTATTCTCTGGTTGACACTACAGATTAATACCATGACACAGTTTCAATACAGGGTGACCAGTAAGCAAGGAGCCCTAATTCAAAAACTTCGGAAGAAAAGGGATACCACTGTTGCCATTATTAACTCTTGATGTTAGAAGTATGCTTTTTTGACTGTATTTATAACGCAGACATCTCTTTACTAGAATACTATTAAAACTCCCCTTGCTTTGAGTCAGTTGCTACTAATTTTATAAGCTAAACTATTTCTTTTTAAAATTTTGTTCTTTCCTTCTTATTTCTTGCGTAGTGTCATCTGCAAGCCTGCTGAGGGTGCAATTCTTCCCCTCATCCGGATCATTGAGAAAGATACTGAGCAAAAATCGGAACCAAAACCAACTCTTTGGACACTCCACTTAATACCGACCACTAACCAGACATCAAGGCTTTGATCACTACACATTAACCCAGTTTTCTATCCACCTTACAATCCATGTATCCAATCCATACTTCCTGAACTTGACTGCGAGAATGCTGTGGGAAACCGTATCAAAAGTTTTGCTGAAGTTTTGTATATCACATCCACCACTTTCTCCATATCCACAGAGCCAGGTACCTCGTCATAGAAGGCAGTCAGGTTGGTCAGGCACAACTTGCCTTTAGTGAATCCATGTTGACTGTTACTGATCAATTTCCCCTCTTCCAAGTGCTTTAAAAAGGATTCCTTGACTATTCCCTCCATGATTTTGTTCCCAGGCACGGAGGTGAGGCTGACCTGTGTATAGTGCCCTGGATTCTCCTTCTTCCCCGTTTTAAAGATAGGCCCTACATTTGCCATTTTCCAATCATCCGGGACCTGCCCCTGCCACCAAGCCTATGTCTAAACTATGATCCTCTTCCGCAAGAGAAAATGCAAATTGAGCG